GTAGAAGAGACATGAAGAAGAGAGGACACATGTTGATGTAGAAGAGACATGGAGAAGAGGGGACACATGTTGATGTAGAGGAGACGTGAAGAAGAGGGGACACATGTTGATGTAGAGGAGACGTGAAGAAGAGGGGACACATGTTGATGTAGAAGAGACGTGAAGAAGAGGGGACACATGTTGATGTAGAAGATACATGAAGAAGAGGGGACACATGTTGATGTAGAAGAGACATGAAGAAGAGGGGACACATGTTGATGTAGAAGAGACATGAAGAAGAGGGGACACATGTTGATGTAGAAGAGACATGAAGAAGAGGGGGACACATGTTGATGTAGAAGAGACATGAAGAAGAGGGGACACATGTTGATGTAGAAGAGACGTGAAGAAGAGGGGGACACATGTTGATGTAGAAGAGACATGAAGAAGAGGGGACACATGTTGATGTAGAAGAGACATGAAGAAGAGGGGACACATGTTGATGTAGAAGAGACATGAAGAAGAGGGGACACATGTTGATGTAGAAGAGACATGAAGAAGAGGGGACACATGTTGATGTAGAAGAGACGTGAAGAAGAGGGGACACATGTTGATGTAGAAGAGACATGAAGAAGAGGGGACACATGTTGATGTAGAAGAGACATGAAGAAGAGGGGACACATGTTGATGTAGAAGAGACATGAAGAAGAGGGGACACATGTTGATGTAGAAGAGACGTGAAGAAGAGGGGACACATGTTGATGTAGAAGAGACATGAGGAAGAGGGGACACATGTTGATGTAGAAGAGACGTGAAGAAGAGGGGACACATGTTGATGTAGAAGAGACATGAAGAAGAGGGGACACATGTTGATGTAGAAGAGACGTGAAGAAGAGGGGACACATGTTGATGTAGAAGAGACGTGAAGAAGAGGGGACAACATGTTGATGTAGAAGAGACGTGAAGAAGAGGGGACACATGTTGATGTAGAAGAGACATGAAGAAGAGGGGACACATGTTGATGTAGAAGAGACATGAAGAAGAGGGGACACATGTTGATGTAGTAGAGACATGAAGAAGAGGGGACACATGTTGATGTAGAAGAGACATGAAGAAGAGGAGACACATGTTGATGTAGGAGAGACATGAAGAAGAGGGGACACATGTTGATGTAGAAGAGACATGAAGAAGAGGGGACACATGTTGATGTAGAAGAGACATGAAGAAGAGGGGACACATGTTGATGTAGAAGAGACATGAAGAAGAGGGGACACATGTTGATGTAGAAGAGACATGAAGAAGAGGGGACACATGTTGATGTAGAAGAGACATGAAGAAGAGGGGACACATGTTGATGTAGAAGAGATGTGAAGAAGAGGGGGACACATGTTGATGTAGAAGAGACATGAAGAAGAGGGGACCACATGTTGATGTAGAAGAGACATGAAGAAGAGGGGACACATGTTGATGTAGAAGAGACATGAAGAAGAGGGGACACATGTTGATGTAGAAGAGACATGAAGAAGAGGGGACACATGTTGATGTAGAAGAGACATGAAGAAGAGGGGACACATGTTGATGTAGAAGAGACGTGAAGAAGAGGGGACACATGTTGATGTAGAAGAGACATGAAGAAGAGGGGACACATGTTGATGTAGAAGAGACATGAAGAAGAGGGGACACATGTTGATGTAGAAGAGACATGAAGAAGAGGGGACACATGTTGATGTAGAAGAGACGTGAAGAAGAGGGGACACATGTTGATGTAGAAGAGACATGAGGAAGAGGGGACACATGTTGATGTAGAAGAGACGTTGAAGAAGAGGGGACACATGTTGATGTAGAAGAGACATGAAGAAGAGGGGACACATGTTGATGTAGAAGAGACGTGAAGAAGAGGGGACACATGTTGATGTAGAAGAGACGTGAAGAAGAGGGGACACATGTTGATGTAGAAGAGACGTGAAGAAGAGGGGACACATGTTGATGTAGAAGAGACATGAAGAAGAGGGGACACATGTTGATGTAGAAGAGACATGAAGAAGAGGGGACACATGTTGATGTAGTAGAGACATGAAGAAGAGGGGACACATGTTGATGTAGAAGAGACATGAAGAAGAGGAGACACATGTTGATGTAGGAGAGACATGAAGAAGAGGGGGACACATGTTGATGTAGAAGAGACATGAAGAAGAGGGGACACATGTTGATGTAGAAGAGACATGAAGAAGAGGGGACACATGTTGATGTAGAAGAGACATGAAGAAGAGGGGACACATGTTGATGTAGAAGAGACATGAAGAAGAGGGGACACATGTTGATGTAGAAGAGACATGAAGAAGAGGGGACACATGTTGATGTAGAAGAGATGTGAAGAAGAGGGGACACATGTTGATGTAGAAGAGACATGAAGAAGAGGGGACACATGTTGATGTAGAAGAGACATGAAGAAGAGGGGACACATGTTGATGTAGAAGAGACATGAAGAAGAGGGGACACATGTTGATGTAGAAGAGACATGAAGAAGAGGGGACACATGTTGATGTAGAAGAGATGTGAAGAAGAGGGGACACATGTTGATGTAGAAGAGACATGAAGAAGAGGGGACACATGTTGATGTAGAAGAGACATGAAGAAGAGGGGACACATGTTGATGTAGAAGAGACATGAAGAAGAGGGGACACATGTTGATGTAGAAGAGACATGAGCAAGTGGAATTGCCATAATAGGTGACCTTTAAGCAGAGGTGGGGACTCGAGTCAATTTCGATTTTTGGACTTGAGACTAACATTGATAAAAGACTTGACTTGAATTTGACTTGGTATTCATGACTTGAGACTTGACTTAAGCTTGAGACAGATGACTTGAAAGGACTTGACTGTTTCAAATTAAATATTTGCGTATGTTTTTGTCGTGAGATATTACGTTTAGTTTTTTCGAAAAACGTGATTATAGCGCCGTGCGCGCAAACCTGGGTTGCGTTCCGATAATCCAAAAATCAGCTCCTAAGTACTAACCCTATCTCCTATTCCTTGACCTCTGAGTGAAAGGTCACGGGGTTAAGGGATAATGGATAGGAGAATCCAAAAGGACTTAGGAGAAGAGACCGCAGTACTTTAGAGAATCCGACTGCACTTTCACTATCCGACGTGTTTCTGATGCGCCAGCGGACGTCCTGAATGTCGGCCTCAGTGATGGAGATGTACATCCCTACCACACAGCTCAGTAAAGACTGTGAGATGTTGACTTTATTTGATCATTTCAGTAAAAACTAACGTTCATATTTCTCTTTTTGATTATAATACTGATGAACGTTCAAAACAAAGCACTTTGGCAACTTACCACATACGTTTTAAAATGCTTAATAAGCACCGTAACTTTCATGATATAATTTCTCCGTCATAATCGGTTGTTTCCGTGAACGGCCGACTGTTGAGTGACGGCAAATGCTGCGGCTGCAATGCATTGTGGGGCAGCATTTTCTCCTCTCCTTTCGGTTAGGGAGGTCCAGTGGTTCCTAAGCTAAAGGAGGTTATAAAGGAAGTTTGAAACCTCCTTTCCTTTCATCTAGAGAATTGGAACGGCACTTATCATGGCTGCCACTGAGGGACTTCCGGGTCATTTCACTTGGTTAGGAAGGTTCCTAAGCTAAATGGACTATTGGAATGCAACCCACTAGAAGGCAGGAGTCTCAGCTAACATGGAAGCGGCTAGCTTTACTCCACAAATAGTGAAGTTTGGATTCAAGGATTATTTTGTCGATGACGGTAATAAGAAGAGAACAGCGGTATGCAGGGTTTGCAGCATAAAGATCAGTGACACGACCACCACAACATCCAACTTCATTCGTCACTACAAAAAACCCCACAGAGAAAGGCGCATGTGTTGTGTTAGCTAGAAAGCTAATGTTAAGTTTAAGCTACGTTAGACTTAGTTTCAAATCGATTAAGCAAAGAGAAGACAAAACGGTAAATGAACACTAGAACCTCCAAGGGATTCATTTTGACTAACCCTGATACTGACGGGCTGCCAGGAGAGAGAGAGAGAGAGAGAGGAAAAGAGATGCCTCGTTTATTTCCCCTGTGTAATTATCAGAAGTTACTGTAAACTGTTGAATAATGTAGTTCATCTACTTTTAGTAGTTTGTTTAAATGTTTTAATGATGTTGTTTTTGTTTGTAGAAGTGCATCATTCCTTGATTTATTGTAAAATGAATCTGAACTTTTTGATGTTATGATGATAAACTGAAGCAATTTCTAAATTAACCCAATTAAGTGAGTTTAAAATCGTCCTGCTTAGTTTATAAGGAAATTATGAAGAGGAACAAATGAAATGACTTGAAAATGATATCTATATAGGTGCTGACGCTGTTGGCGGTTCTAGTGTTAACAGACATTTAAATGAAATATGTGTAATGGCAAAAGCCATCTATGATTTTCTTACCTGGAGTTCTGCCTTTTTGAACAGACTTTCTGAGTCCTAGCTTTGTCTGCAGTTCTGGGGTTAATATGAATCTAATATGATTGTCATCGGTCTAAATTATATTTCAAATGATTAACTGTGTATGTAATGAAGATCATAGTGTGGGTTAAATCCATTTTCATAACCACTTTTAACTGATTTAAATGCGGAAACTGGGCTTATTCATCAGAATGTTGTATGACTTGACTTGACTTGACCTGAGCAATGACTTGACTTGACTTGCTTGACTCTCATCTCAGTGACTTGGGACTTGCTTGATACTTGTAGGTCAAGACTTGAGACTTGCTCATGACTTGCACATGTAGGACTTACTCCCACCTCTGCCTTTAAGTAAAGAGTCAACCAAGCATACCTGAGCTTATTGCTACTTGTGGATATATTAATGTTTGGTTTAGACGGAACTACAACATCGTTACAGAAAATGGGACTTGTTTCTAGTCACTCTTCCCCCTGTGAACTTCTTCATCCCTGACGATATCGATTCCTACTGACCACTCTTTAAACAAACTGATATCTTGTTCTTCTTTCTGTTCTGCTAGTTGTCGATGCTGGACTCCCTGATTCCCCGGTATTAGGAGACATGATGGCCTCCAGCGACGTGGACACTAGAGAAGGTAAAGAAATCAAACTATATTGTCTTTTTGGGTCACTAACAAGACTGTACTCTGATTTACTCAAAAAGGTTGCATTTTAAAGTGTTTTCAAACCGTCTGGAGGGGGCTTCAAACAATGGGCAACCGAGTGGATTTACAGCCTGCTGCACTTTAGAGACACGGATATTTTAGAAAGCCCAACAATTATTATGTTTTGGAAATGGTTAAACCTCTATCTGGGTAATAGTATAGGATCAAATGTCCAAATTAGGGCTAACTGACTTGGTGAGAGGAACAGGAATGATGGGTAATTGGAATATACTGTACTTTGGTTCAAGCTAATGCAGTATAATATATTTCACTTTATATAATGTAATATATTGTAAAGTGGGATCATATGTAATCCCTAATGGAAGGTAGACAGCTTGGGTGTTGTTTGGATCCGCTGGCGTCTTGTTTGGCCGGAGATCTTATCAGTAACATTTAATATTCAACATGTTGTGATAAAGGCACCGTCTGATCTGTGGTTGGTTTTCAATTAGCTTTTTATCGCTGTTTTGCATTTCCTTGTAGTCATTTGAGTCTCTTTGTAGTACTTTAGAGTTTCTTAGCAATTGTTTTATATTCCTCTGTGGTCATGTTGTGTTTCTTTGTTGTCTCATTTTGGTCTTTTTGTGTCTATGTAGTACTTTAGTGTTCTTAGTAATTGTTCTATGTTTATTTGAGTCCCTTCCTTATGGTTTCGTGTCTCTTTAAGTGAGTGATGAAGGCTACTTCTGTGTTAGATGTCAGGTGGTTTCTGTTATGCCAAGCTAAGAGGTTAATGATCAAAGGGCAAAGCATTTTAAAGAAGTGAAAGTAAAGTCCTACTTTCTTATTTGTTGTATTAGTTTCACGATGACTCTGTTCTTACATCACATCTCCAAAAAGAAGTTCCTCTGTGTTTGTTCAAAGCAGGGTTCGTACGGGTGCTTGAAATCCTTGAAAATGTTTGAAATTTGACCTGGTGTTTTCAAGGTTGGGAAAGTGCTTGAATTTTGGGAATGGTGCTTGAAATTGAGATGAAGTGCTTGAAAATGTAAATGCTTTACTTTTACAATAAATTGCTGTCTGACTGAATAGTTCGCTTTTTAGATTAACAGAAAAGAATTGCTTCGCTTCTAAAACAGCTCCGCTGCGGCCTTCCCGCCTGCAAGTGTTTGTGTTGCTGTGACCTGGGCATTCTGATGAGAGTGATAGATGACTGTGTGCCAGGAGGTTGCCGTTTCAACGAGCGTTGGCTAGCAGAAGACAAATACAAGCCATGGCTAAGACGAGGGTCAAGCCCACGAGTAGCCTCCTGCAAAGTTTGCAACATAACGATGCGAGAGTCTGCGCTGACGAGCCACATGAAAGGTACGCCGTAGGAGAGCATTTTAGATTAGGCTAACGTTGCATGTTACGTTTGTTTAAGCTAACGTTAGCGAGCTGAATAGCGAACTCGATTGAGGGATAATAATAATAGCAGGGGAGAATCATTTCAGAGGAGCGTAACCTATGTTATGTGCGTTACAGTCGCCATCGTGTGGTGTTCAGAGGATGAAGCACTCAAGGCATTTTGTGTTATAGCATAAATATAATCTCTTGATTCGACACAGAGCGATTTTGAAAGCAATGTATTTCTACTGGTAGTATGTTTCGTGCCTAAACCAAATGTGACTTGCTCTATCGAAATCAGTCACATTGACCCGAAGACACATCTTCGTTTGTATTACTGGTCTGGGGGAAGCTGGCGAGTGTGTGTGTGTGTGTGTGTGTGTGTGTGTGTGTGTGTGTGTGTTTGTGTATTTTTGCGTTTGTTTCCCGGGGAAACACTCACAAGAAACACCGGCTGTTGTTATGCCTGCTGTGACGTTAAGTTACTCAGTTCTCCGCTTGTAATTATGCCGAAGCTTCAAAGTTGTATTTATCATCTGAATTTGCCGAAAGAAGTTTAATATTCTGAAAGCCAAGACTTTGTTTATTTGAAAACAGATGAAAACAAACTGTCTTTATATAAAATTGAAGTATTATACAAGTAAAACTACATGTTGCTTTAATCCCATGTAATGGTAGAATGAACACAGTCTTCCTTTGAAGATGTAGAAGTCAGGTTCTTGAGTAGTCAGCATTACCTACAAATCATTGTACACATTTGTAAATATTATTTTCCACTTGTTTCCATTGTGAGTCTATTTCTATGCAGCTCTGCGTGATTTTGTGGCTACAATTCAGACTAATACGCTACTAGAGGTGGAATAAGTACTCAGGTATTGTACTTGAGTAAAAGTAGAAGTACTCAGATCTTGTACTTGAGTAAAAGTAGAAGTACTCAGATCTTGTACTTGAGTAAAAGTAGAAGTACTCAGATCTTGTACTTGAGTAAAAGTAGAAGTACTCAGATGTTGTACTTGAGTAAAGTAGAAGTACTCAGATGTTGTACTTGAGTAAAAGTAGAAGTACTCAGATCTTGTACTTGAGTAAAAGTAGAAGTACTCAGATCTTGTACTTGAGTAAAAGTAGAAGTACTCAGATCTTGTACTTGAGTAAAAGTAGAAGTACTCAGATGTTGTACTTGAGTAAAAGTAGAAGTACTCAGATGTTGTACTTGAGTAAAAGTAGAAGTACTCAGATCTTGTACTTGAGTAAAGTAGAAGTACTCAGATCTTGTACTTGAGTAAAAGTAGAAGTACTCAGATCTTGTACTTGAGTAAAAGTAGAAGTACTCAGATCTTGTACTTGAGTAAAAGTAGAAGTACTCAGATGTTGTACTTGAGTAAAAGTAGAAGTACTCAGATGTTGTACTTGAGTAAAAGTAGAAGCACTCAGATCTTGTACTTGAGTAAAAGTAGAAGTACTCAGATATTGTACTTGAGTAAAAGTAGAAGTCTTCAGATCTTGTATTGAGTAAAAGTAGAAGTACTCAGATGTTGTACTTGAGTAAAAGTAGAAGTACTCAGATGTTGTACTTGAGTAAAAGTAGAAGCACTCAGATCTTGTACTTGAGTAAAAGTAGAAGTACTCAGATCTTGTACTTGAGTAAAAGTAGAAGTACTCAGATGTTGTACTTGAGTAAAAGTAGAAGCACTCAGATCTTGTACTTGAGTAAAAGTAGAAGTACTCAGATCTTGTACTTGAGTAAAAGTAGAAGTACTCAGATCTTGTACTTGAGTAAAAGTAGAAGTACTCAGATGTTGTACTTGAGTAAAAGTAGAAGTACTCAGATGTTGTACTTGAGTAAAAGTAGAAGTACTCAGATCTTGTACTTGAGTAAAAGTAGAAGTACTCAGATGTTGTACTTGAGTAAAAGTAGAAGTACTCAGATGTTGTACTTGAGTAAAAGTAGAAGTACTCAGATGTTGTACTTGAGTAAAAGTAGAAGTACTCAGATGTTGTACTTGAGTAAAAGTAAAAGTACTCAGATGTTGTACTTGAGTAAAAGTAGAAGCACTCAGATCTTGTACTTGAGTAAAAGTAGAAGTACTCAGATCTTGTACTTGAGTAAAAGTAGAAGTACTCAGATGTTGTACTTGAGTAAAAGTAGAAGTACTCAGATCTTGTACTTGAGTAAAAGTAGAAGTACTCAGATCTTGTACTTGAGTAAAAGTAGAAGTACTCAGATGTTGTACTTGAGTAAAAGTAGAAGTACTCAGATGTTGTACTTGAGTAAAAGTAGAAGTACTCAGATGTTGTACTTGAGTAAAAGTAGAAGTACTCAGATCTTGTACTTGAGTAAAAGTAGAAGTACTCAGATCTTGTACTTGAGTAAAAGTAGAAGTACTCAGATGTTGTACTTGAGTAAAAGTAGAAGTACTCAGATGTTGTACTTGAGTAAAAGTAGAAGCACTCAGATGTTGTACTTGAGTAAAAGTAGAAGTACTCAGATGTTGTACTTGAGTAAAAGTAGAAGCACTCAGATCTTGTACTTGAGTAAAAGTAGAAGTACTCAGATCTTGTACTTGAGTAAAAGTAGAAGTACCAGAGTGTAGGAATACTCTGTTACAGTAAAAGTCCTGCATTCAAAATGTTCCTCAAGTGAAAGTAGAAAAGTAATCTCATCAAAATATAGTGAAAGTAGCGACAGTGAAAGTAGTCGTTGTGCAGATTGGTCCATTTCAGAATAATATATATGATATGTTTTATAATGATTGATCATGAAAGTGTTCTCAAAGCTGGAGAAGGTGCAGCTAGTTTGAAGTACTTTGTATACTGCAGGGTAGCTGGTGGATTTACTCCAGGTGGAACTAAAGTCTGATTTAACACTTGGTTATATTTCACATCATTCATCCACATCTGTGAAGTAACTAAAGGTATTAAATACATGTAGTGGAGGAAAAGTACACCATGTACCTCTGACTTATGTTCACTGCCAACCTAAAAGTACCTCAAAAATAGTAATCAATAATGTATTGAAAAGTTATTTGACTGATTGTTTTATATCGGCTCAGCCAGGTTATATGGGAGGCCTAGTCTACTTACAGATCACTCATTTTGAAATATTAAACTTAGTTTTCTTTTCTTTAATTTTTCATCCTCGTGTAGAAGGCTATCACGAAACACACATGTGGTTGTTTATAGCATAAAGAACATCTGATTTAATGTGAGGTAGGGAAATAATCATTTGAGTATGTGTATATAAATATGTAATTTACAACAGCTGTAAGATGCTTGAAAAGCTGGAAAATGCACCTTGAAAATGCTTGAAAAGTGCTTGAATTTGACTCAAGACCTCAAGGTGTAAGAACCCAAGGTGTAAGAACCCTGTCAAAGGTTTACACTTGATATGAAACTAAAGTAAACTCCACTGAAGCCTGCAGTGTGTTTAACAAAGTATTAAAGGGTCAGATTATTAAACACGTCTACACACCAACCCAAGCACCGCTGCAGGGCTTCTTATCTTTTTAAAGGTGTTTTCTTTCCTATTTCAAACGTATAAACAGACAAACTAAATAATTGCTATCATGTGTTACAGTCAGCTGGTTTACAAGAGATATTTATGAAGG